AGGAGGATTAAATTAGATGGCCATCCTTTTCTGCAAACAGAGGCGGCCACCACCGCTATAAAAAGATGCTCTCTTTCTTTTCAGTTTTCACCCATGGCAGGTGAGGTGGGAGTGAGGAAGAAGGGGGAAGTGAACTGACCCGAGCGAGGTCGAGGGAGCACGCATAGCCCTGCACCTGCAGCAGCCAGCAGCAGTCCACACCACCACAAGCCAGTGACAACAATCAGGATTGGTAGGAGCCCATCCCCGCCTTGCTGGCCCTGACCTCCCCCCCTCCTCTCCCCCCTCTCGCTCTTCTTTTAATGGCTTCTCTGTCCCCTCGGTCTCCTGCCTCCGCTCGCTCACCTGGGTACTAGCGGTAGTAGTAGCACTAGGCTGGGGCTGGGTGCGGCATCCGAAGAGAGTCGAGAGAGAGGTAGAGACCGCTGCCTCTGAGCTGTTCCTTCCACCTCCAGCGAGTGTTCCAGAGATTGGGCACATCAATATAGCTAGCTACCTAGCTACGGCGAGGAGGGAGGGGGGAGAATTTTTCTTTTCTTTTTGTCAAGCTCCATGCTTGCTTGGCTGGTCGGTTGATTCTCTTTGATCCTCGAGCGCGGCCGCCGGTCCTGTCCAGTCCAGTCCACCCAATCCTCGCTGTTCGTGCGCCCAAGCTCGTGCCCGCCCGCGCCAGATCTGAGCAGATTCCAAGAATCCCAGCACCAACCCGGCGGGGAGTTCTTGGACTTGGACAGATAGAGAGGGGAAAAAAGGTGAGGGAACTTGCGTCTTTCTTTCTCTCGATCTGATTCGGCGCTCTGCGCCGGGCGATTCTGGGTGCCGGGGATTGACGCGGTTTCTGATTGATTGATTGATCGATCCTTGGCTGCGATCCGGCTGCTCTGAGAATAATTTTGATCTGACCCGTATTAATGATTCTGCTTGGCTGCAGGCGAGGACGGCGGTGGAGGTACGGAGGCCGGGCATGCCGGCGAGGAGCTGCGGGGAGAGGGCGTGATGGCGGCGGTGATGGACTACTTCAGGTCGTGCTGGGGCGCGCGGTCCCGGGCCGGGCGGCGGGGCAAGAAGGGCTCCGACGCCGCCGGCCGCCAGGACGGGCTGCTGTGGTACAAGGACGCCGGCCAGGCGGTAACCGGCGACTTCTCCATGGCGGTAGTGCAGGCCAACAGCCTGCTGGAGGACCAGAGCCAGGTGGAGTCCGGCTCGCTCTCCATGGCCGACCCCGGCCCGCAGGGCACCTTCGTCGGCGTCTATGACGGCCATGGCGGCCCGGAGACCTCCCGCTTCATCAATGACAACATGTTCCACCATCTCAGAAGTAAGCCCCATCTCAAGAAAAATCCCCATCTCCTAATTTCTGCAACCAAAAAGAAGCAAGAAAATCTCCTGACAACTTTTGCTCTGTTACTATGTTGATCAGTTGTTGCGTTTTTGTGAGCATGATTGTGATAATCATGCTGATTTTTCTCATAAAAAAAGCCAAGGGCTATGATAGTTTTGGTACTCATTGCTGTAACATCAGAACAAGAAGAAAATATTGCAGGTTCAGTAGACTTATTTCTAAGCTTGCATCACACATGGCGTGGTCACCGGCAGCGAGCTAGTATTATATCTCACAAAGAATAAATTCATCTCTTCCAGCTGCGTATGTCTTCTGTTGATGGTGACATTGTTCTGCTACTCATTTGTTTTCTGTTTCTGGGGGCTGTTTCTTACTCATTGTTAGCCTTGTTAGTGTCAGTGTATGATAAACAATCTCCTTTTCCAGGATTTGCAACCGAGCACAAGTGCATGTCGGCCGATGTGATCCGGAAAGCCTTCCAAGCAACCGAGGACGGTTTCCTTTCTGTAGTCAGCAAGGAATGGTCTATGAAGCCTCAGATCGCGGCAGTGGGCTCTTGCTGCCTGGTCGGCGTAATTTGCTCCGGGACTCTCTACATCGCAAACGCGGGCGACTCGCGTGCCGTTCTCGGAAGGCTCGTCAAGGCGACCGGTCAGGTTGTGGCCATGCAGTTATCGGCGGAGCACAACGCGTGCTACGAGGAAGTTAGGCAGGAGCTACAGTCATCACACCCTCATGATCCACAAATTGTGGTTCTGAAACACAACGTTTGGCGTGTGAAGGGCCTCATCCAGGTAACCGAAATTCTGTACCGCGAGACGCATAAGACCACTGTGAGATTTAGACCTGCCTAGATAATTATTAATTTGTTGTTAGAAGTCTTCGCGGCAGTGACATCATCTGTCCATCTCATCACAATTCCACCTCTTTTTTTCGTTCCGGAGTATGGATAATTACTTCTGCATCTGCGCTGTTTGTTTCAAGTTAGGTATTAGGTAAGTCAATCGTTCTCAGAGCTAAAGTGCCTGCACTAAATATGGTTGCATCATCATAATATAACATGCTTTTCGTATATCCAAAAATAAATGTGTGGTAAGATTTGGTGCTGTATAATTGCCGTCTTTATGACTGGGGCCTCTTGTCCTCCCATATGACTATGCTAGATTGATGTTCATGCTTTCTGTATAATGGAAGCGTGCCAGCAAGAGGCAGGAGGAAGTGATGCATTCTGAAGTCATCCATGGTTATCGTCATTTTCACGCTTAACTTTTGAGCTAATCAACACCATCAGTTGCTGCAACTCGGGATTTTCATCATGACATATTATTACTTTGTGTACACAACTGTCTATAGGCTCCTGTAAATTTTCTCTTCTGGATTATATATACTGGTATACATACAGTTGGGGTGCTCTACTACTGTTTTTCTTCAATTGTAACTTATGAGGTGAGATGATATTCTGCAGATATCAAGATCTATCGGAGATGTATATCTGAAAAGACCAGAGTATAACAGGTCACCTCTACATAGCAAGTTTCGGCTCCGGGAAACCTTCAAGAAGCCAATTCTTAGTTCTGAACCTGCGATTGCTGTTCACCAAATACAACCGAGTGATCAGTTTGTTATATTTGCTTCTGACGGGCTATGGGAGCACCTCAGCAATCAGGAAGCAGTTGACCTTGTCCAAAGTAACCCTCGTAATGTATGTGTTCTTCTCCTACTCTCCGGTTTCTATGGATTTCATCCCTAAAGAAAAAGTTTCCATGATTCAAATCCAAAATTCCTTTCGAGGCTCAGTACCCATCCAATTCATTAGATATATGACCAGCATGTAGGAAATATATGCATATTCTTAATGCCTTTATTTGTTTGTGTGGGTGGGACTAAAAGTTGTTTTGCTATTTCAAGCAAGTGTAGTCTGAATTATGCACTTTATCTGGATGCTTGTGTTTTCAATCACTTACCAGTAGAGAGTATTTACCCCTTCTCTACTCAAAGTTGTTTTGCTATTTTAAACTCTAGGCGTTATTTTAAGCAAGTATAATCTGAGTTATGCACTTGATGGGGATGCTTGTGCTTTCAATTGGCAGGGAGCATTTACCACTTCTCCACTTAAAGCTGTTTTCCTATTTTAAGCTCCAAGTGGCACTTCAAGCAACATACCGTTAAAAAAAACCTCAAGTTGCATGTCATCCCTGGGCTGCTGTATTATCAAAATCAAGCCTACTTCTGGCATGCGATCATTTTCACCCATTCCTGAAAATTATGCAATTTCTTTTTCGCCAGGGGATTGCGCGGAAGCTAGTGAAGGCCGCGATGCAAGAGGCGGCAAAGAAGAGGGAGATGAGGTACTCGGACCTGAAGAAGATCGAGCGCGGGGTGCGGCGGCATTTCCACGACGACATAACGGTGGTCGTGGTGTTCCTGGACGCCACGAGCGCCGTGAGCAGGGCAGGGTGGAGCAAGAGCCCGTCGGTGTCGGTGCGAGGGGGCGGCGTGAGCGTCCCCGCCAACTCCCTCGCGCCTTTCTCGGCCCCCGCCATGGTCAGCAGCACCTACTGAAGGAGAAGCCGCCGCGCCGATGAAGAGAAACTCTATGATGGGAGCATCTGCAGAGAGAGTGCTTCCTGCTGCTGTGAAGCTGCTCAGGCTCCACCCGGGTAATTAAATTAGCGTACTGATAGCAAGGTATAAGGTTAGATCACCGCCATTCCGTGGCGACGCAAACCTACCCCCCTCCCCCTCCTCCCCTTTGTTCTTTTATCTATCCCTGTTCTCTTCTCCAATGAGGGAGGAGGGCATGGTGGCTGTAAATTTGTCCGGAACATCGCCGTCTCTTTTCGCCGCAATAGTCCGTCTTCTTCCATCTCCTGTTTTCGCCGTCGAAAACCGGGTGCTTGGCGCCTTGGCTTGACCCTGTGAGGTCAAGAGGTGCCTCCAATTATTTGCAGCAGATTCATTATGAAATCGGATGAAGTTGGACTGCGTGTGTATCTGGGTGAGCAAGGTAGGCCAATGGTTTGGTGCCGACATGCTCACATGAGAAGGATATCAACGCGGATTCTGGCCCTGGGGGAGCACGTGTGGTGCGGTGCCTTGAACTTGATCAGGTTGCCAGTTGGGACACTCATCCAACAGAATTAGGTCCAGACTATATAGCTTGGATCACACCCATAGCCTGGGCATCAAAGGTCCCAATTGTCTCATCCATGGGTGCCATCCAACTTCGCCTGAAATTCGGCAATCGAAATCTTCGCAATTTTATTTTATTTTAATTTTTGCGAAGGAAATCTTCTTCTGAGTTAAAGAGTAAATCTTGCTGATGATCGATCCACTGAAAACCTTCAGCTGCATTCAAGGCTCAGCGAAAGGCTTTGGCGGGAGGGCGAGTTTTCGCCCGAAATCCATGATATAACACAGTCCATGCCCAACAATCTCCAAACAAGCGCAAAGGACCTGAACCGACGAACGAAACCGGGCAGAGAGAAAGGCTAGATACAAGTGATGATTGAAGAAGTACAAGGGATGTAGATCCCCGCTGTGGTACTGTTTTTCTGCTTTGCTATACACAGCTGCTTTCTGCACCTTCCGCGGAAAAAAGATGCACCATTTTTCAGTCAGCTACAGGCCAGCTGACGGCTTAGCTCGCCCGCAGACCCTACCTAACGAACAGCGACACCAGCAATTGCGAGAAGAGAATGAACTCGGTGACGACGACCGCGGGGGAGTGGATGCCCAGGAAGGGCACAATGTCAACCTGCAGCCAGCTCTCCACGCCGGACCCGACCGTCGCACCGACTGCCAGGCCCCCGACGGTGATCAGCGCCGCCTTACCTGCATGAACAAGGACCACTGAGGCATTCATTTGGTTCCAAATCGAAGCAGGAAGGTTGGCACAAGAGCAGCGGTGATCAAGGTACAGGACATTGGGCAAGGTTTCCTCCCACAATTAAGCAGTGCCATAACAAACACAAAAGCAGGTTGGAGGCTTGTGGATTTGTGTCAGCCAGATAGATCCAGACGTGTTTATTCACTAGCAACTTTAAAGACAGCATATCCAAGAGTGAAGGTAGTAAAGAGATAAAATAGCTGCATGATAGGCCAAATTAAATACGAACTAAAGGCGGTGGATATCTAAGGACGCCCGTCCCATGATCAAGATTATAACCCTACAACCGTGTATGATTGTGGATCCATGGGCTCTTTTATCTTCAGATGTAGTACTCTCAAGTAACAAATCACTGTTTTGACATGTTATGTTTTCACTCAAAAAATGTGTACAGGACGCAGTTCGTTTGTTGCTACAACAGCTGAATAACCGAATTTGCTTGCAGTGTATCTCTCTGAAGCTCACACAAAACTTTCAGCACCACACAACATCTATCTCTTTGAACCAAGTTTTTTTTTTCTTTTCACCAAAATCCTAAAGCTAGTCCACATGCAATACAATGTGAAGCAACGCACTACACGACAACAATGTAATCTTGGGAAACCGCTGACCTAAACTAAAAAGGTGATGTTGCACGAGACATATATACAAGGCATCAAACTATGGCAACAATCCCATAATCACACGAGACTATGAGAGAATATAACCTACAATCATATAGGATTGTGGATCTCTAACGTTCTTATCTTCAGATCTACCTCTGAAGGAACAAATCGCTGTTTGTTCACTAGCAACTTGTAGAAGGAACAAATCGCCGGTTGGAGGTTTGTGGACTTATGCCAGCCAGCCAGATCCATACATGTTTATTCACTAGCAACTTGTAGACAGGACATCCAAGAGTAAAATTGCTGCATGGTATGTTTTGACATGTTATGTTTTCACTCAAAAAGCGTGTACAGGGACACAATTAGTTTGTTGCTACAATAGCTGAATTTGCTTCACGATATATCCCTTTGAAGATCTCTTTGAACCAAGTTTAACTTTCACCTAAAGACTGTAAAGTAGTCTATATGCAATACAATGCCAAGGCGCGCACTATACGACAACAATGAAATCTTGGGAAACTGCTGACCTAGTCTAAAAAGCATGCAATACAATGCTAAGGCGCGCACTACACGACAACCATGCAATCTTGGGAAACTGCTGACCTAGTCTGAAAAGCTGATGTGCAAGAGACGTACAAGCATCGAACTATGAGTCTATAACAACAATACCAACCACCCCTTTAGCCAACATGAGTTCATGCAATGCAAGTAATCTCTGCTACTCATCCTTACAGGCAACACGGATTAATTGGCACTGGAGCAGGGGCCTTTCTTAGCATACAAGTACCTCTTATTTGCTTTTATTCTGTCCTTTTTTTTTTGGATTGCATGTTTCATTACATGCTGCTAATGTTGTTCTTTTACTGAAAGTAAACTGAGCAAATATATAAGGAAGAAAATCAGCTACTAAGAAAACTACCATGACAATACTGCTTCTAAAGGCAAGATAACAGTTAAGGCTACAGATATAACAACAGTAGATGCTTTATATTAAATAATTAATGCACCCATGTGAGCAGAACTAGCCTTATCTTGTTGATAGTGCAACTGATAACACCACTGGTGATATAGATTGTATTGTAACTTCAAAACTACTACCTCTGTAAACTAATATAAGATTTTTTAGTGATCTAAAAAGTCTTATATTAGTTTACCTCTAAAGTAGTGATCTAAAGTCTTATATTAGTTTACAGAGGGAGTAGTTTGTACCAGTGTTTCCATGTTTTTTATGCAGAAGGTAGAGACAGAGAGTGTTGAACAGAAACTAAGAACATGTTCGAACCGTACTAAATGTAGAGGAGCATCAGAGTAGATATTATAAAAAGTAGCGATAACAAGGTGGTGGAAGAATTTACCTAAGTTCATGTTTTTCTTGGACAGAAAATACAATGAAGCACCGAATCCTGTTGCTAGGATAAATCCAGGCACATCAGGGCTAGTGTACGCTGATGGCAAAGACGTGGAGGTTCCACTCGCATATGTGAAAACCATCAGTGCACCATAAATGGATGACTGGATGCCCAAGCTGCTCGAAGCCGGGGCCTCCAATGTCAGAGGCACGTTCTTCATGGCTGACTGCATCCATTGCGGCGCCGTTCCTGCAGTCTTGACAGGTTTCACATCAGCGTAGCGGACGCTGCTATCGACAACCTTGCCAGCCCTCCGCCGTGATAAGCTCTGCATTAGCAGCATATCATAGGCGACCTCGACCTGAAACGAAACAGGAAACAGAATCAAACATGGTATCAGGGACGCGTTGGATACCGAGTTGCCAGCAAATCTTGTTAAAACATCAATGATTGATGTTGCCAGCAGCTTAGGATCGTGTTGTTTCTTTTATGAGTCCCAGTTCGGTCTTCAAACAGACAGTTGAAAGATTGGGCATGGGCGCAAGCAAGAGTAGTTATCAGGAAGACAAGTTGCACAAGCAAATAAGAACAAATTACAGCTAGTTCGCTGGAACAAGAAAGGTTATTACTTATTACAAAGGACAAAAATCCACACGAAGCTGCGTGGAGAAATCGGGCAGTCAGTGGTAACTTGTCGAAATGAAGAAACAGAAATTTACACTCTTTCCCTTCCTACGGGCCAAGCCAAGTCGCTGGTCCAAAGTTGACAGCACATGATATGATATGAATATATATGATCACCTCCACCATGGCCCATCCATGGATATACAAACAGTGCTAAAAGTAGAGTATAAGCTAACGCACTTAATGCCAAAAGTAGAGTATTTTAGCAGCCTGGATTCATCACATGGGAACAACTGTGCACCAAATTGCCCGAATTGATCATGATCAGGTCTCCGCTTTTCTTGGCTGTGTACGGAAGTAGATTAATTTTTGCGTCTGGGCGTGAAAAAGTGAGATGCATCATACATACAAAGCCATTCTTGCATTACCAATTTGACGATTTTGGCGGCTTTGTCGTCCTAAATTAGCAACTTGTGGGGATAATCGAAGCATACTTTTAAAGATGGATCCACTTGAACAAGAAGCGAGCGCGGAAAGGGGGTCGGCATGGAGTGGAGGGGAAGTTTGGGGAGGGACCTGGGCGACGGCGTCCGGGTCGTCCTTGCAGGAGGCGACGACGGCCTTCTTGGCGCGGAGGATCTCGTCGAAGGAGGCGCCCTCAGCGACGCCGAGCAGCTTGAGCGCGCCCTCCACCGTCATCTCGAAGGGCGCCGGCGAGGAGTCGTCCGCGCGCGAGGCGGCCAGGCGCCGCGTCGGGGCCCGGCGGCGCGACGGGGAGCTGCGGGGCACGGCGCAGCACCGCGCGGCGGAGGCGGCGGGGCGCCTGCGGAGGAGGTGGCCGCCGGCGCCGGCGCCCGCACCGCCGAGGGAGAGGGCCGTGGCCATTTTCCTTCCTTTGGCTGCGCTCGCGTGGTCTGGCGCTGCCGTGCGCGTCGGCTTCTGCTGTCCGCGGATGGAATGGATGCCACCGTTGAGATTTTTTTTAATGGGTGATGAATGATTTTGGCCGTCCGGCCGCCAATTTCTACGGCTTCGGGTCGGGGCCTTTCGGACACAATCTGCGGATTCTTTTTTGGAGGAGGCGGATAAGTTCAAAAAGTAGATTTATTTGGATAAAGATTTGATTTTGTTGGTATCGTTTCAAAGTCACTACATCTGTGATATTTTGCGAAAAACTTCCAATCTATTCATCTTCAATCATGGTATTACAACGAACACCAGAAATAAAAATTACATCCCGATCCGTAGACCACCTAGCAACGACTACAAGCACTGAAGCGAGCCGAAGGCGCGCCGCCGTCATCACCCCTCCATCGCCGGAGTCGGGCACAACTTGTTGTAGTAGACAGTCGGAAAGTCGTCGTGCTAACCATAGGACCAGCGCACCAGGACAACAACCGCCGCCGAAGAAGAATAACGTAGGTTGAAAGGATTCAACCCGAAGACACACGAACGTGGACGAACAACGACGAGATCCGAGCAAATCCACCAAAGATAGATCCGCCGGAGACACACCTCCACACGCCCACCAACGATGCTAGATGCACCGCCGGAACGGGGGCTAGGCGGGGAGACCTTTATTCCATCTTCAGGGAGCTGCCGCCGTCTCGCCTTCCTGAGTATGACACAAACCCTAAGAAGACAGGAAAAAAACGACTGAAAACGGAGCCCTCCCACCGGCCCTTGGCAGGATCCACCGCGCTCCCATGGCCCTAGGTCCACCGGAGACGAGACGGACCTGCGGCGGCGCCGGCGAGAGGCGGAAACCCTAACTTTATCTCTTGGAGGAGGAGGAGCGACTTTATGTGGGTGGGCTCCAACATGTCGAATATCAGCCGATTGGATGGGTTTTAGGGTAAACGACTTAGCGTGCTGACCTGTGTGGTTCATGGTTGTTCAGTGCTCTTTTTTGGCGTTCTTGGCACTATAGCAAAAGAAACATGTGTGCTTCGATAAAATGTAGAACTTGAGTTTCATTAACGGGAATGGAGGAGTACATTGTTGTAACGGGCCCGATCTACCAAGGGATTGGAGGGGGGGGGAGAGGAAAGGGGATCGACAAGGGGAAGGAAGGGGATTATGGTTCCGGAGGAGAAGATCAGCTCCTCGCTCACGGCCGATTCAATATCCACTTAATCGATATCCTCCAGCTTACACAGGGAAGGCCTAGTTATACAAGAATGAGACGGGCTACAGCCCACAAGGCCAACATAGGCCCAACCGAACCGACCAAACTAACCCGCTCGGCCTCACAGTCCATCAATCACTGGGACCATCGAGTCCTTTCCCTCCAGGCACTTCTGGTCCACCATGTCAGTCGTGACATTCACCCCCTCTTGAGGACCGGCTTGTCCCCAAGCCGGCGCCATCGGAAAATGACGCTGAAGATCGCTTAAGTCCTCCCAGGTAGCCAGAGACGATGGCAGGTCACTCCACTGCACCAGAATTCTGGGTTGAGAGGCACCCTGCGTCTTGACCATCTTGTGCCCCAGGATGCACGCCGGCTGATGCTCTGCCTACAGGATGGTGTTAGCGGGGGGCAAGGTAGAACTCACCGGAATCTCTGGACCTACCAGCTTCTTGAGCTGAGACACATGCACCACAGGATGAATTTTGCTGCCTTCGGGGAGCTTCAGCTTGTAAGCCACTACGCCAACGCGAGCAATGATCGGATAGGGCCCATAGTATCGGAATGCCAGCTTCTGATGCGGTCGCTGGGCCATGGACGTCTGCACAAACGGTTGAAGCTTGAGGAAAACCGAGTCACCAACAGCGAACTCCCGGTCAGTACGGTGCTTATCCGCTTGTCTCTTCATGCGATTCTGAGCACGCTTAAGTTGTTGCTGAAGGTGCTGCATCATCACCTCCCGCTCCTGCAGCCATGATGCCAAGTCGGGCACAAAACACTCCTCGACTTGCATCACCCCAAACTCGCGAGGCAAATGCCCATAGATCACTTCAAACGGCGTACGACCCAGCGACGAGTGGAAAGAGGTGTTGTACCAATACTCAGCAAGAAACAACCACTTACTCTAGTTGCGGGGGCATGAATGAACTGCACAACGAAGATATCCCTCCAGGCACTGATTCACCCTTTCTGTCTGGCCGTCCGTTTGAGGGTGATACGATGAGCTCAATCGCAACTGAGTCTGGGATAACTTGAACAGCTCCTGCCACACAGCACTTGTGAATATTCGGTCGCGTCTGATATGATAGCCAAGGGAAGACCATGTAAGCGAAAGATGCTCTGCATGTAAACAGTCGCCACCGAGAGAGCCGTGAATGGATGAGTCAGGGGTACGAAGTGAGCATACTTCAAGAACTTATCCACAACCACTAGAATGACATTGTGGCCACCGGATCTAGGAAGCCCTTCAATAAAGTCCAGCGATACCACTGCCCACGGCCTCTTTGGAATTGGCAAAGGCTGCAACAGCCCTGCTAGCGAAACTCTCTCAGTTTTCGCTCGCTGGCAGGTTACACAAGCACGAACATACTGCTTAATCATATCTTTCATGCCCTTCCAGCAAAACAACCTCTTGATGCGATTATAAGTGGCATGGAAGCCGGAATGGCCCCCCACAGCACTATCATGCAAGGACGTGATCAGGGAGCGCTGAATGTCACTGTCCACTCCCACCTAGATCCTGTCTTGATACCGAATGATGCCATCTTTCAAAGAGTAGCCCTGCTCATCCGGGGTCAGCACCGCTAGCTTTGTCAATTTCTGTTGCGCTTCCGGGTCCGTTCGATAGCTCGCAGTAATCACTTCCAACCATGCTGGCTTACACACCGACACAGCCACCAGTTCAGCATCAACAGGGTGATCACGGCGAGAGAGAGCATCCGCGGCTCGATTGGCGATTCCCGCCTTGTACTGGATAACAAATTGCAGCCCCACCAGTTTAGTAAACGCCCTCTGTTGTATCAAGGTGTTCAATCGTTGGTCAGTAAGATTCAGCAAACTTTTCTGATCCGTGCGGATGGTGAATTCTGCGTGTTGCAGGTACGGCCTCTAGTGCTCAATGGCTAGCAAGAGAGCTAGACACTCTTTCTCATATGTCGAGAGTCCGATATTCTTAGGTCCCAATGCCTTGCTGAGATACGCCACTGGGTGTGAATCTTGCATCAACACAGCTCCAACTCCGGTAGCACTTGCATCTGTCTCCACAACAAACCGCTTGGAAAAGTCTGGAAGTGCCAAAACAGGGGCTTCAATCAATGCTCGCTTCAATTCTTTGAATGTTGTATCTGCTACTGGTGTCCACACAAAAATAGTTCCTTTCTTCAGCATATCTGTCAATGGTCGTGAAATCACGCCAAAATTGCGGACAAATTTGCGATAGTACCCTGCCAGCCCCAAGAACCCCCTTAGCTTGCGAACTGAGTCCGGTCTTGGCCAACACGCACTGCTTGGATCTTAGTGGTATCCGTGGCGACACCCTCCTGACTGTTGTGGTGTCCCAAATAGTCAATGCGATTCTGGGCAAAGGTGCATTTAGACATCTTCGCTTTTAGATCATTCTCTGAGAGTATCTTCAGCACGGCACAAAGGAGAGTCACATGCTCTGGCCAGGTGCGGGAATGGACCAATATGTCATCCATAAACACGAGCACACCCTTACGGATGAGAGGTGAGAGCACTGTGTTCATACCACCTTGGAACGTAGCCGGTCCTCCTGCTACCCCGGGTGGCATAACCCTGAACTGGAAGTGGCCCTGATGCGTTTTGAATGTTGTTTTGGCCTCGTCCTCCTCAACCATTCGGATCTGATGGTAACCAGCTCGCAAATCAAGCTTCGAGAACCAACAGGAACCGGCCAATTCATCAAGGAGTTCGTCGATGATTGGCAAGGGGTAGGTACTCTTCACTGTAATGGCATTCAAATGACGGAAGTACACACACATCCTCCAAGTTTGATCCTTCTTCCGCACTAACAGCACCGGCGAAGAAAACGGGCTGACACTTGGAACGATCAATCCTGCCTTCAACAGCTCTCGGACCTATGCTTCGATCTCGTTCTTCTGCTCCGGTGTATACCGATAAGGCCCAATATTAACTGGTTTAGCCCCAGGAAACAGTGGAATGGTATGGTCCCATGACCTGTGAGGAGGCAACTCTGTTAGTTCTGCAAACACCAACTGGTACTCATCAAGCAATTGCTGAATCTCTTCTGGGACTGTAGTGATATGCATATCAGGACCCACAACATGCAACAACACCACCTGAGAAATTGTGTCCATGTCTTCCACGGCTCGCAGCTGAGCACCAGATATGTGTTGGACAGGCTCCAGCTTACTCTGCACACCTGCCAGGGTGATCAACGCGCCCTCATGCTGGAACTGGAGCTGCTTCGCTGCCCAGTCTACCCACATCGACCCACACTCCTCCAGCCAATCCATCCCAACAACCATATCATAGCAGCCCAAGGGAAGAATGCGAAGATCAGTGACAAATTCCTGGCCTTGAACCACCCAAGGACAAGCTGGAATGACCCCATTGCAGGACATAGAACCTCCATCAGCAATTTTGACCACCATAGGTTGCTGCAGCCGAATCTGCCCTTGCACCCGCTCAGCCACTGTCTCACTGATGAAGCTATGCGAACTTCCTGAATCAACAAGAATCAAGACCTCTTTGCCTGCTATCTTCCCCACAAGCCGCATTGTACGAGGGGTGGTTTGCCCTGTTGTGGCCACCTTCGAAATACACATGAGAACCTCATTGTCCTCCTCCAGTTCTGGCATCTCTGGTTCGACATTATCATCTTGCAATATATCCAATAGTTCCTCCATAATGTGCAACTGAACAGTCAGGCCACATTGATGCCCCGGGCCCCACCGCTTGCCACACTTGAAACACAATCCTCGCATTCGGCGATAAT